TTTTTTATGAGAGTATAACATTATAACATGATATAAAACTCAAAAAAGTTTATTTTACATGATATTGCCCCTTTAATTTTTCAAAATGACAATTTACTTTTGAGATGTGTTTGCAGATTCTTAATTTACAGGTTAGTGACTTACAATCTAACAGCAGCTCACTGTACTTAATAATTTATTTAGCATCAGTACTAATACTACCATTTATGTTTGACTTATTTTATTATTTGAAGAAACTTTGATTACACTGTGGTCTATGGCCATGCTAACTTTGTGCTATAAAAACAGAAAGAATAAACGTCTCTAAAGTGTGATCTCTTTTTATTTGAAAGTTTTTTTTTCTTAAAACACAAGCTTTTTTCAGGATTATGTAAGTCTTAAGTTGAGTTATTCATCCTTCTTTCTGTTTTCCCAAAGTTGTTGCATGAGCACACAAATCCAATTCCTGGTGAAGAAAGGTGGCCTGTGATTGGCCAGTTCTCCAGCATTGGCTCCATGGGAGCAGATAAGACCAAATGGTTGGCGGCAGAGTTTCAGCGCACCCTGACCACACTTGGGAAATCCTCTCTTCGCCCAGATCCTCCCATGCATTTGGTACGTTGCAGCATCTTGCCTTAAGAACACTGCGGGCTAAGGTTCAGTAAAAAAGAATAGGTCATTTGATTTAAAAAAAATACGAATGTGTGCAACTCTGGAAAGAGAAAGTATAATACTTCTCTCTTTTTATGTGCAAAAACCAAAAAACGTGATTTTCTGACTTTACTTTAGTTTTAAATGTATCTTTGCAGCTGMTGTGTTTGGCTACAGCTGATCAAAAACTATATATAAAGGGTTTATAAGATGACATGTTCCTGTGTTTTTCAAGAAAGAACCTGATGGGATGTTGTTTCACAGCTTTATCCTTCAGTGGATGATGTGAGGCTGAGTTTAGAGGGCTACCCAGGTGAGTGTTTTCTTCTTGTTTCACTTCAGAATGATAGGGTGTAATGTGAAGCGCTGCCTGAGGAGGTCACTCAGTCTGTACACACGTTCAGTGGGAAACAGCCAGATCCCTCTGATTATTTCACAACATTTCGTGAAGTTTTTTTGGTGCTTTTCATTTTAGTTGAGAAACACATTTCTACATGGTTAAAACATCAGCTCACGCAGTTTTTCACAGAGTGATAAAAGGCTCAAACTCCTGTCTGAAAAAGCTCTGTTTAACACAGTCAGCTGTTGTGTCACAACCTGACAGCTTTAAATTCAGCAATTATTCATCGTTCTTCAGTTCTACTGTTTCATATTTCGTGTTTCGTTCAGACAGTTACGGGTTTGACTTTTATGGAGCTGGTTGTTGGCTAATCTTTATAATCTCTCAGAGTTTAATTATTTGTTGACTGCTCTGCTTTGCAGCTGGCGGCTCTCTTCCTTACAGCATCCAGACAGCTCAGAAACAGCTCTGGCTCCACTCCTACTTCCAGTAAGTCCACTTCAGTTAATGAAATCTTTGTGTCCTGCCAGTTGCTTCCTGTAAGCTTTATTTTTATTTTATTTTTTTTACTATTTATTCTCACATTAAACTTGGTCTCAAATCTGCAGAAACAAATGTTTTGGTGCCAAACAACCGGATTTATAATACTGTGGTGAGATTTAGGTTGATGTAGAGTCTGTGTCATTGAGGACACGCTGTCAACCCAAATGTGACTCAACCAAAAAAACAAGGTTTATTTTTGTAGTACATTAAAAAAAAATTGTTGACTGAAAAATTCAGTTGCACAGTAAAGCCAAAAAAGTAAAATCAAGAACTTTTATTATTGCACTGCTGGAATTA